AGCTTTTATCAATCAGTCTTGAGCTGACAGCAGGACTAAAAATGCTTTGCTGTAAGTTAGTGAACTCCCTGGTTCAAGCAGCAACCTTGTAGTGAAAGAAAATATTTCTTAGCTCCCATGCTATTCCACCCTTGAGTAATGCCTTCTGATCCCTAATCCCTATAAAAGAGTCTCAGTGAGGTGACATCAGAGTAGCCCTTCACAACTGGAAGGTTTTCCTATACTAGGAAAATCTTTTGCTGCCCGTTTGAACAGTTTTTAGATACCGTAATGCATCTAGAGCACAGTCTGAAACTGCAAGGCAGTGTCAATCACAAGGGGAACAGGCTTTCTTTTCATTATGGGTGCCTTTCCTTGGATATACATGCCCTGTCTTCCTGCATGAGGGTGCATCTAAGGAGGTATGTCCAGCCACCTCAGAAGGAACTTCAGGAAGGGATCCACCTGCTCTGAGTCTGCATTGCCACCCCTCCTGGGTGCTCAAGAGGATGACTGGATCCATTGTAAACATTAATAATCTTTCCTTGGCAGGAAGAAAATGGGGCAAATAATATGACGTGGGATGGGATGGAGTACATGTAGTTTGGAGATCCAGGGATGGGGCAGGATGTGACAACAGTAGAGACCTAAGCCAGTCATTTCACTGCTAACATGTAGTAGCAAAAAAAAAAAACAAACAACCCCACCAACAAAAACCACTAGCATAGCTACAAGTGCTTGTCTTGGGACTTTCTGACAGGAAGAGGAAGAAGCACGTTTATGAAAGCAAGGTATTCTGAGACAAGCAAGAAGAGTGCTTTAGCCCATGTCATGAACTACACATTTCATATTTTTATTTCCCCACATTCTGGAGTATTTGGATATAATTCTGTCTTGCCAAGCTTTTGTCTTTAGTATTTTGGATTTGTGAACTGATGGCAGAGAGTGCCAGCTGTGAATGTGCTGTCTGGCTAGCCTGCTGGATGAAGGAGTGGCATATAATTCAGGAACAAAAACATTGCACTAGAGTTTCTTTTGAGTTAGTTTCGGAGGAAGCATCATCTTGGACAAAGATCTTTCAGGGGAGACTTTTCTCATTTTCTTAAAGCTGTCTGCCCTTTAAATATATTTTCTCCTCTGGATGGCAGCACTATTGAGTTTTTTGTTTGTCTAGGAGTAAGGGTGACAGGATAGATTAGAAAGCTATTTCTGTTAATTGTTGGAATCCATTCTTATGGCAGGAAAGTGAAAAGCTATAGGTAATTTTCCTTTGACATAGATTTTCTTTAAGGATTAAGTTCCCTCCTTAGCGTATGGATGAATAATGGTGCGAAAATAAAGTCAGATATTATGATTTCTATATAATTTGCTCAGACTTGCTGCTTTTGTAGTCTAAGTGACTGAAGAATATTTATGCAGATCATAGAACCAAATTGTAGATCATTATACTTACTATATGTATATAATATATATAAAATGCACACTCCTAAATGGGTTCTTTCATCTGCAGTGTCATAGAATAAATCTAAACATGAAGTATGCTTCTTGAGTCTATGAAAGTAAACAGAGCCTACAGGGATCTCAAACATGTACAGATGAAAATGCAGATGGACTTGGACCTCACTATACCGACTCTTTTATATCACCCTACTTTTCTTTGACATAAGCCAAAAATAACATTTTCCATGAGTCTGAAAGCAGAAATTTTTGTTGAGGTTATGATTCATTTATAGCCATAGTTAGATGGCAGGAAAAGCTGTCTGTGAGCCACATGCTAACTGAGCTGGTTTTCTATACACACACACACATATGTTCATACATTCCCTGTATAAAAGTGTATTTGTAAATGTGTGTGGAGAGCGTGTGCACATGCATGCACCTATAATAATTGATGTAATACTTGCTTTGGCAGCGGACAGTGACAGGATAACGGAATGAGACTCCAGGCCTGCTTTTATTCTAAGTTTCTGCTTATTAGAGTAGACCTAGTGTAATTTATCTACTGCATAAAAGCACGAGTATTGGGACCTGGAGGAACCAATTGAATAGATCCTTCATTCCTTTCACTTCACTTCCAATTAGTAGCCCTAAGAGAAACCCCGATGGCAAGGTCCTAAAGGACAAATGCACTGCAGGATTTCTGCTCATAGGAGCATTTGCATTGAGCCAATGAACAGAAAGATTATAAGGCTGGTGTAAGACAGAAATAATGACGTGAAGTGTCATCTTTGTTCCCAAATCAAGATCTCCAGCTCTGCTCTGGTTGCACAGACTTCTAAAAGTGGCCAGAGGAGGAAGATACAGCTTGGGTTAGAAGAGTAGTCAATATGCACAGACTTGTTTTTACACCAGTCAGGTTACTGAATTGTTTTACTCATAGGTGAAAATTCACTTTACTGAGGTGAAAAATGGCTGACATGCCCGAGGCTTGAGAGAAGGGAAAACAAGCTTGAAGACTGGAGAGTACTACCTAGAGTCACTTTCTGTGGCTCACTCTTCACAGCTGGACTGCATTTCCCATAAGCCGTAGTATACTGTGCCCGTAGGATTTCCATCGTCCACTACTTATGATTCAGCTAAAGGGAAGGCTGTGGAGGTCACTGGAGGTGAAACCTAGTATGGAGCCAGTCTATGAAGGCAAGTAGGAAGAGACATCCCATCTATAGTTTTCCATGAATCACTGTAGTGTCTCAGTCAGGGGCAAAAATTATTGCTGAACTGTCCCCAGAGAAATTGTTTCTTCTTGACAGCTGAACTATCATGACTTGGGTTCACCTAAAACTGCATATTTTCTTAGAATTTTCCTGGTGGACAGTAAAAAATATATTTCCCTTAAATGATGAGTGTGTAAATGGAAAACTGTCTCTCAGGTACTGTCACTTTCAACCTGTTCTATCTAGTTCTATCTGAATGGCATATTTAAATTGCTGAATATTATTTTAACTAATAAGAAGTATCTGTAAATTATGTAAAGAAATTACCAAAAGAGGTTGAATTTTTTTCTTTTTTTAATTGGCCATACTGTTCTAACCTTTTTCAGGTCTTCCCTACTGTTCTCCCCACATGGTACCAACTATTTGCTTGGGTGTATTTTCAGCACGATAGACATGCTGATAAAGGCATGAATACTAATATGTATGCTTACAAGGATTTTCTTTTCTCCAAATGTCTTTGCTGTGCTGTCTGTAGACCAAACTATGTATCACTTATTTACAATATTGAGCACTTAGTAATAGAAATACTCAAAAGTGAGATTACTCATGTGCTTAACAGCCATGAAGAGAGGAAAAAAATAAGACTTAAAACTACTTTTTCCTGTTTTGCTTTGTTTTTTTTTCTTCTATTAACTGAAATACAAATGTAAATCTGGAATGAGGTTGCTTGTTTTCACCCTTGAAGGGTGAGATTGATTCCTTGAGCCAAGGCATGCTTTTTTTTTTTAAAAAAAAAAAAATGGCAGAAGTTGATTAAGTCTTTTGTTTCTCTATTTTTAGGGGCTTTCTTGTAATTTACTTTTTTTTTTTTTTTTTTTTTTTTTTTTTTTCAAACCTTTGCTTTAAAAAAGTTCAGTTGTGGTTTGGCAAACCTCAAGCAGGTCTGGACAAAAATAGCTATTTTTTTAATAAGAAAATGAGCTGAAGTAAGATGAATATAAATAAATTTGTATATAAAAATAGAACTATTGTTGGTCTATGTCTGGCTAGTACTCACATTTAGTCACTTAATCTCTCCGGCCAGTTTTTGATGGCTCACATATTTGGACAACCCCAGGCTGAAAAAGACCTAGATCCCAGGTTCCCACTTCCCAGGGTAATGCTCCAACTAGTGAGTTATTATATTAAACATGGCTTGTGGTACCAAATGTCACTTAAAAGGGTAACCTCTGCTTGAGTCTTTGAAAAACAAGGCAGAGTCGTTTGTGGAGAGGTGTCCCAGGCTGCTGCTCTCAAATAGGGAAAGATAATCTTGCTGTACCAAGGAGTGAGGGACAGAAACCCTGGGAGAGGTAAATATGTGGGGCAATGCTTTGCATTCAGCATTTTCTCCCGGATGGTTTCAAGTAGCTGCATGCTGAGCACGCTTATGTCAGTTGTGTCTCCTTGTTCAAAGGCTGCTTTAGCTTCTATACCGAGGCTCTTAACTCTCATTAACTGTATAGAAATCTGAGACACCTCCAGCCTCTGGATGCCACAGGGAGGTAGGCAATACGCCATTTTATTTTAATTGCATCTGTCTATAAATGACTTTGGAACATGCACTCGATTGATTTATGCTCTTCATTTCCAAGAAAATCACAGCTGTGATGAAGCATTTGTAGGGTCAGTCTCATAATTTGACAGTGAAGATATTAAACTGGAACAATTTTAACTAGTGTCTTTAATTTTCTATCTCAAAATTATTTCCTTATAAAACTTCTTTTTGATAGAACCTGAAGGTTTCTTCGCAAATGTGTCTTTCTGTAATGAGTAACATTTTCACATAGAAGGCAAGAGAGAGGAAAGAAGATTGTTCTTTTTAAAATGTACCTGTACTAACATTAGTAACATGTAAATCAAGGGGCTGATACTAATTTCATAGCCTTCAAAAAAGACTCAGTGGATTGTATCCATTACTGCCCATGGCCCTGATTCAACTTTTATAGAAGTCAATAGGCATCCTGGCTGTTTCGTCCCATAGCTGTCTGGATCAGGCCCAAAGCAAACAATAGTCATTGGGAGATGTTACAAACAGTAAAATTTAGAAGGAAAAGAAAAAAAAAAAAAGAAAAGAAAAAGAAAAAAAAGTTGAGCAGCATCTGGTGGGTTCTAACGAGGATGCCCTACATGAGTATAGCATAAACTAAACAGTGTTTCTGTGTCTGTAATTTATTTAAAGAATATTACACTTCCTGGATTTTCAAACTGAAATTCGTAGATTGGAGATAAGGTTAAATAGTTCATGAAAAAGCTTTTCTTCCTTCTGCTGAGCAGTGGTATGCAAGTGAAGCCTGGCTGCCAGTGCTGCAAGTACAGGGACAGTGGCAGGGGCTCTCCTGCATGATGGGGTGTCAGCTCCTGCCTTCCACAGTCCCAGCAAAACCCAGCTGCTCGTCAGGGAGACTGGCAAGAAGAAGGGGTAAAAAAAAGTCAGCCAATTTCTTCAGAGGTGATTTGTATAAGGGCCCCTCTTCCCTGCAGGCAGGCTCACACAAAAGGGCTCAGAAAGGAGGGTGACCTCCTGATCCCCAGCAATGGCCAAAAAATAAACGAGAGCTAGCCCCAAGGCAGTCCCTCTGTGGGTGCGAAGTGAACCTCTCCCCGTCCTCCTGCGGTTTATTTATAGATAGCTTTATTTGTTTGTATTGTCAAGAAGCAGTAATTCCTAGATTATTTCTTAAGCGTCTAGAGAATAAAGATCAAATGCTGCCAAGTGTACACATGACAGATAAATGAGAGTATAACACCAGAATCCTCCTTTGTCATGGAAATTGTGTTGGTTTCCTGTTAAGAAAATGAAAAGCAGATGTTAAAAAACATAGCTGGTTGTGTGGATATTCATGCTGCATTGGGACAGCTGGGATTATAAAATGGTGAATACTCGGGGGGAAGGAGGGTGGTTTTAATTTTACTTTAAAAAAAATAAAAGTGAAAAAGAAATAGAACTGGCATTTAGATGTTACTGGTAAAGTAGAAAATATCACCTTAGCTAATTGATGGGATAGGAAGTACTAATGAGGATCCTTCCTAGATGAGAGTGCTCACAGCAATACAGCAGATGCTGGGCTTTTCTATTTTATAGAGGGTACTTTTTGTTATGAACAAGAACTTGGATGGGTCAGAGCTCCCCCGCCACCCCCTGCTTGGATTCCCTCTACCTGGCAGCCAATCTTGGCTATCCTTCATCAGCTTCTTGAGATACGAATCAGTTGTGACTTTTCTTATAATGTCATTTTGAAGTAGAAAGCAGGGGAAGGGAAAGGATTAAAGCCCGCAAGGAGGGGAAGGCAGATTTCAGGCTGCTTATGCCATGGAAAGGCTCCTACCAAAGGAGAGAGAACTGTTTTCCAAGCATTCTCTCCCCATTCTTTCCCCACCTTCTGTAGGACTGTTGTGTGTATCAAGGAGAGAGCAAAAGAGCAGAGGCAACTAAGTGATAGGGAGGGTGTTACAGGAGAAGGCAGTGTGAAAATACGTGATTATAACACTGCTCGGGTAGTTCCCTGACACACACATCTCTTCTGTGAGGATATGAAGCTATGTGAGATCTAGGATATGCCAACCATGGTGGAAAAGGCCTCCCGCCCCCCCCTCCCTGTCCCCCTCATTTTTCAAATGACTCTCCTGATTCTTGGTTGGTCTGCAGTCTTTTTAATGACCTGTTGCTGCAGTGTTACTTCCTGCTTGTACAGTATGTTGACATATTGGGAGTTTGAAAGACTGCCCTGTCTTCCCTATAATTGATATTAAATATATATACATATTATACATACATATATGTATGTATATCGGCTCTCAACAGGAAATGCACAGGGTTGAGGCAGGCTTCAGCCTTAGCCATGGGAGCAACCCTCCAGGTAGGGAGAAGGAGCTCCCTAGGAGTGTAATTTCCTTCAGGGACATCTCCCCCAGAGATGGCGAAGGTGAGCAGGGAGCGAGCAACAGCAGGACTGGGAGAGAAGGAAGGTCAGCACCTTTCCCCAGTGCCCCACCACTCACTCAATAGCATCAGTGCTGCTCAGGTTTTGAAGTAACACCAGGTCGAGCTGTGCTGTTCCAGGTTGTACTGTGTGAACTTATCTTGGCCATTTCATTGTGACTACTCCTCATCCGTGTTATGCAAGGGAAACGTATATCACAGCCAGTCGCTGAGGAATCCCAGGGAAGGCATGCGTGCACACTTGCTGGAGAGCTTAACTGATATTTCTTCTTAAGCAATTAAATGTATTAGGACTGAATGTTCCTGAGATGAAGGCGGGGGATGTGAAATACATTCATATTTCACAACAGTAATCAACATTTTCAGGAGTTTTCAAAAGCTGAAAATACAATTTTTTTTTATCTGACAAATTCTCAGCTGCTGTTTTTGTGTTTCTCCAAGTGTCCTCTATCTTTGCCTTTTTATTTTTCCATTTGTATTTTTTCCTCCCTGTGTAGTTAACAACTAGTTGCAGGGGTGTGTGTAGGTATATGCAAGTCTTATATATATAACGATCTAACTGACAATCTGGCTGCAATCTCACTGAGTTCTAAGAGCAGAAAGTAGACAGTTCATTCTAACAGCTTTGCTGAAGTTGGTTAAATTCATAGGAAGATGATATGGGTTCAGTATATCAGTGAGAGATTTTAACACCACATGCAGTCAACTCTGCTGTGAAGTACAATGCAAAATTCTTCATTTACCCTAGCAAAATCTACATTTTTGCCTATATAAACATACGTGCACTTCCTTTTGATTCTGCTGCTTCTCTTCCTCGCTTGTTTAATGTCTTCAATCCATGCAGCAAGGACAGGCAAGCTCCAGATTCCTGGATGTGATCTAAAGGTCACATCCTTTGCAGTTGTTGCTATTCCGCTTCTAACCTCAGGACTGCAGGGAAGAGCAAGTCTTGAAATGTTCAGGGCCTTATTTTTTTTGATGAATATCCAGCAATATTTATCTGAATCATCTGATGCAAAGCTGTATCAGAAAAGAAGATCTCTTTGCAGTATGTTTCCTCATTAGTTACACTCGGAACAGAAATATTTAGCGTTTTGCTTTGGGACTTTGTTGTTTCCACATTCATCCCAGGTAGAAATTGAAAAAAGCGTATGTATGAAAATGTGTAGGCTATTACTTGGGCCATGTGGTGACTGAAGTGAAATTATATTGATAGCATATGACTTAATGATCAGAGCACCCAAAATTGTTCAGAGAATTAGGGGGTCTTTTTAATTGTAGATGGCAGCAGTAGAACCCCTTGGTGACAATTGCTTCAGAGAAGTACACTGCGGAGTCTCAGAAGTTATTCTCTCACCCTGAGGACTTATATGTCTTTTCACATCATATTTAATGTACTTTGAGACAAAAAACCCAGAATCTTCCCCTCTGATGACAGCTCTGTGCTGTATTTGTAACTCACCAGAGCGTTTGAGCTCTGAGGACATCCGTTTGGCAAACTTCGTAGCTCCGTAATTCTTAGAGAGATGTAATTTTTTTAATGTTGTTGGTTCATTTCACACAGACAAAATTGCCAACCACAGGCTCAATTCTTTCAACACAGGAGGAGGAGATGGGCTTCCCAATGGGCTCTCGTCAGTGATGCTCCTTGGTAGGTCGAAGGGTTCGTTAGCAAGGATCTTAGTCTCTCTTCCAGGGAGCTTCACTGATTTAAACAGTGCATTGGACTGCTGATTCTGCATAGAGAAGATTATAAAACTTTATATCCCCCCAAATATTATATTCTACCATACCTAAATATTATTAAAATATTTTTAATGCCCGCTAATATCTTGGGGTTGTTTTTAAAGTGCTGCTTCAGGAATGTTTACCTATGGTAGAATAACTTGTATGAGAGAAACATTTTGCTTCTGCGTGAACAGTTACTGGGAAAATTGATTTTTTTTTTTTTTTTTTTTTTTTACAGCAAAGGCAGTAAGAGAAATAAACTTCCTTTACTTTTTCCAGTAGACAGACTGTGTTAAAAGATCAAGAAAAAAAAATACCTCTTTTGGAGGGGGCTGGGTTAAGTTCAATTTTGAATGGCTTCCCATGAGTTTTAAGCTGCCCTTTCTGTAAAAATGTGTTTTGCCTGTCCCGGCCGAGGGGAGCGGGACCTGGGGCAGGGCTGCGCTGCGGCTGCTCTCGGGGGGGCTGGTGGCCGGGGAGGGTGCGGGACCCGGCGGTGCAGACTGAGCGGCTTCGGCACTACCCGCCCAACAGCCGGGCGGGCTTTGGCAGGAGCAGCTCGCAGCCTTGGGCCGCCGTTCTCTGAGCCTGCCGCTAAATTCCTTGGCAAGAAGGTGGCGCTGGCACTCTGAGATTGGGATTTATTTCTTGCGGTGGGTGATTTCGCATCCACAGGGGTACCTTTTAAACAATTTCTATAGGCTGCATCAAGTGGAAAAACAACTTCCCTGCAGCTGTTTTATGTTTTCTTGGGTTGGTTGTTTTTGTTTTGTTTTGGTGTGGTGTGGTTTTTTTGTTCCTTTTTTTTTTTTTTTTTTTTTTTTTTATAATAATGCTTGGCATTTAGAAATCCTGTTACTCTGCAAACAGGGTCCTCTCTTCTGTGAAATGCAGCCTCAGCCAGTTCATGTCTTACACCACCTTCATTGTATCCCAGCACTAACCAGCTTCGGGAAGCTTTTGGTTACAGTGGGCTTCTTTGTAAGGAGGATGTGTGGCTTTGGGGGTGACCTCTGTGAGCAGTGGTTCGTTTTGGTAGGGTGGAGGACATGGTGCCCTGAGGCTCATTAACACCCCGTCCTGGTGTCAGCGTGGGCTTTGTAGTTTTGCTGACTCAACACTCAGGGTGTAACTTCAAATCCCTGTTCCTAAAGCCGCTGTTTGTTTGTTTGTTTGTGTGTGTGCCCATCTCTTGCTTGTTTGTGCCTAATTCCATGTGTTAGGTACAACTTTATCAAGCCGACATGTGCCCTCTTCTCCAGGCTGCTTGTGAATGACAGGTGTTGTGAATGAGGGTGAATTGGATTCACTTTAACCTTGGACTTCAAGGCATAAAAATTCATCATTCTGCCAACACCTTAATTTTGGTGTTTAACCAATCATTTTGGCCTGGAAGTGTCCAAGGCCAGACTGGATGGGGCTTTGAACAACCTGACCTAGTGGAAGGCATCCCTGACCATGGAAGGGGGGTTGGAACTAGATGATCTTTAAGGTCCCTTCCAACCCAAACCGTTCTATGATTTTTGGTGAGTATCAGCCATATATATTGCAGAGCAAATGATTGCTGTTATTTTCAGTATGCTTAAAATGTGTGTGCATGGTGTATACATAAAAGACATGCTCCCACTTGCAAAGCACTCCCCTGGACCAAGTATTTCTCCTTCTAAGACAATCTACATGCTTTGCCACATATACTGATTGCAGTTTTCATGAACCATAAAATAAGTATAGGATATGAACGGGTTAAGTCTCTATTGTCACTGGCTGTGCAAATGGCCTGTGTGTTACATAGCTATATTTTTTTTCTAGACAGATTTTTTTAAATAATTTAACTATGACATTAAAAATTCAACTTATTAAATCCTCCTCCTCTTTTTTTTTTTTTTTTTTTTTTAGGTAATAATTTCATAATGAAGTACTGTCCTGGTCACAAATTTATCTTATGTTGATTAAGTTGGTGGGGAAGGGATTGGAGAGCCAGGGAGAAGGCAGTGTGTATGAACTCAAGGCTGCATTTGGCAATTCAGCCGAGCACTTCCTGCCAGCACAATGGTTACCCCAGTATGCAATTTGTGCAAAACGGGCAGATGATTTTCTTCATAAGCGTTAAGTACAAAGAGTACTCCATGATGCCATCTAATTGCTTAATCCCCAAGGAGTTCTTCAGGCATTTATTTAACACTAATTGCATGTGTAAATGTTCTTAATTTGCAGCGTGTGAAAGTTGCAATGAACACACACAACAGAGGATGTCAAAGTGACACTTCATGGAAAGATGCAGTTAAGGCAGTGTTAAGTTACTTCTAAATAGGATTAATCATTTATTAAAGTTCAAAGCTCCTCAGAGCACAGGAACTAGCATATGATGACTTGTTATTGTTCAAAAGTAACTTGTGGAGGGGAGTCACGCCTCTAAAATTTCTATGATATAACTTAGTATATTGCAGTAAACAGTGAATTTAAAGACTTGAAAAGCTAAGCAGGGTGAGCGATTCAGCACAAGGCAAAGAACTTGGCTTGGCAACCATTGCACAAAGCCTGCTTGGGCTGTTAATTAGCACTTGCATTGTAATAGAGCCATGGAGTCTCAGGCACTGTACAGAGCTATAGTCGAGGGGTGGGGGGAACCCCTGCCCTAGAGCTCGTCCTGCTTTGGCCCACAAGATATGGGAACAAACCAGTCTTGTAGGGTGCAGGACATTCATAAAGGTCTCTAGACAGGTAAGTCACAGGTTTTTTTGAAAGGAACTTGTAGCTCTGATGCCTGTTTTACTGTCAGCTATTTTCCACTTTTGGGGTTAAAGCTTTGACCCTTTCTGCGATGTTGAATATCACTGTAGATATATGCACAGGAACACAAATAACAGTTAGCACCTGAGCTCTCAGGAGAACCTCTCAGGTCATAGGTTCTCTCTGTTTGTGCTGGATTTCACGGGGCAAAGTAGCTCAGAAAATCATACAATTAAAAAAATTATACTTTTTGTGACATGATTATATGCTCTAGAAACATAATTGCCCATGAGCACTACTTTGTGGTGCACACTGTGCAAGCATATAGAAGTAGCTTCGAAGAGGAAGAAACATAAATTTTACAGCATCTGTTAACAGAACCAAAGTTCAGGAAGCCCATGTTCAGTCAGCCTGCCTGCCCAGCTCAGACACAACCCTGAGTCACACACCTTTACACTGTGTGAGATGTATCAGCTCTGCGACTTCCCTGGTTCTTTGGTGGATGCTGATACTTAAACCTGTATCTTAGTACTTTCAGAGAGGCAGTAATTCCCATGGGGACTAGAGCATAGTAATTCATGTCGAAGGGCAGTCCAGCTAGAATTTGTCAGAATGAGTGGGAAAGATGAAGGCTTGGATGTGAATGTTTTTGTCTATCTGTGAGGTGCCTCGAGCTCTTATTAGCTACAGCAGTAATGCTGATTGAATACTACCTGTTTCAAGACTGAGGACTTAAAATATTAATTCTCTTTATTCTGAAAATTAGATACACTCACAAAGTGCATGAATACACCTAAATCTCAGATAGTTTCATACCTTCAAGTTCAATCTTGATTATCCTTAGACCATGAGGAACAGTATGTGATCATCTCTTTTCCAGCTAGGCAGGGCTATCAAAGCTTTACTTTCAGACATAGCAGGAAAAAAAAAAAAAAAAATTAAGTGCCTGACTTGTCAGACTTCCCTGGTAAAGACTAGAGCTGCAAAAAGGGCTAAGCATCCTGTCACGTTGTGTCTAGGTGTTTCCTAAGTAGTAGAATCTGTAACAAAGTTCAGTGTCTTTAGCACAGGCAGAATTATACATGTCAGTATGGGATCTGACACTACTGAAGTATAGGGGAAAGAGTCATCTACAGTTTCCAGCAGGCCATGCTGAAGAGAGGCATGTGTTTCAAATTTAGGCCTACTTCTGTACTTAGAACTGAACATTAAAGTCTTTTTTTCAGGCATCTTTAAGGAGGAGCCTGTAAAAATGGACAGAAGAAGAGCTAATAATATCTGAATGCCAAAACCAGAAATTAATGTGTGTGTGAATTCTGGTCCAGGATTCTAGCCAGGCCTTTTGTTAGGCTAAATGGCTTCATCATCCCCATGTGAAACTGCTGAAGAGAGCTGGAGGAAGTTTTTGCATGATGAAGAAAACCTAACTTCTCTTGCATCTATCCTGGGCCCTTTGTGATTAATGGAAAGAGTCCATTAATTCAAGCATCTGCTTTTAGTCTCTAGGGGAAAAAGTGGTTGTGATTAAAAACCACCTTCTACTCATATAGCTTAATTTCCTCTGTTTTCCTCAGATGAGACCAAAAACTGGAAGGGGTATGGATGGCCCAGACAGTTCAAAACAAAATAGAGTGGCCACAAATCTCAGCCTTCCCTTTACGCCAAGCTGCTCTGTGAGACTTTGGCGCTCTGTGAAGGGTTGGTTTGTCTCCTTGCTTGCTGCTTGCTTTTTGGCAGGAGTGGCATGTACTGAGCTCACAGATCTTCACAGCTTCTGGAGTAAGGAGACTGTAGAGGGAGAAGCTCACGTCTCACATAGTGCACCAGAGTGGCACCAGAACACATTTAGGTGATGACCACTTGGGTGCTGTGTTTAAACTGATTAAATTGTACCCAAACTCTATCAGAGACTAAATTCTCACTTCTGTTTCAAAAATTCAGCCATTTGAGGTGACACAGCTAGTACTGGGCTGCCTGTCTCTTTTCACAGCAGAGGTGTGTGCAGGCAGCATTTGTTCCTGTCCATGGTATGTACAGGGACGTGATCCATCCATAAGAAGCAGGGACGTACACTGGTACCTCTGAGGGAGAGGGGCTTGCTCCTCTGCTGGAGTGCTACAAGCGCATTGGAGGGGATGAGAGGCACTGGCAGGCCACAGCACAGTGTTAGAGACAGCAGTGAGGAACAAGGAGGAGACAGGTCTGGAAGTAGATGGGAGGATTCAGTGCGGACTGGGCACTGCTGCTACTCTCAGCATAACTGGGCTTTGTCTAACCA